TAGTTCCAGGATAGGCTCCAAAACCACAGAGAAACCCTGTCTCGAAAAACAAACAAACAAACAAAACAAAACAAATATAGCATACAGCCTAGTTCAATAGTAGAGCATCTTGCTCAATATTTAATCCCCACACCAAGAAAAAAGATATTACCATAAATCAGCCATTTTTCTATTACTAGGCATTTAGTTATGTTCATACTTGCCCCACCCACTTCTGTTAGCTTGAACAGCAGAAACGTCAGGAGCTCACACTGTGTCCTTGAGCAAGTTATTGGGTTTGTTTGTTTGTTTTGTTTTGTTTGTTCAAGACAATTGGTTGTTCAATTTCTCTGTAGCTTTGGGGACGGTCCTAGAACTCACTCTGTAGACCAGGCTGGCCTCGAACTCACAGAGATCCACCCGCCTCTACTTCTCGAGTGCTGGGATTAGGTGTGTGCCACCACCACCCAGCTAAGTTATTTGATCTTTTAAAAACACCTACTTCATAAGGTTGTTTTGCGAATAAGTGAAGCATTGAATGCATAGTGCATGCAGCACAGTGGTTATTCTGAGCATATGGTTCTCAATACAGGCTAATTAACATTAATGACTCGAATTAATATCTTAATGCATAGTTTTTTATTCCATTGAAAATGTTGGGACTAACTGAAGTAGAATTAAGTTTAACAAACTCCATATACATACATACATATATATATATGATATATACATATTGAGAGGGGATAGAGGTAGAGAGAGGTAGAGAGAAAGAACAAGAAGTGGGGGAAGAGAGGGTGGCACTCTTCAAAAGAGGGACGGAAAGAGCTCCATATATATTTTTATGGTTCTTGAAATTGTCTTTTTAAAAAATGTGTCACATAATAGTAGCATTCGTAATTTAGATACAAGTTCCATTATATTTTGCTAGCGATTGGGAGCTAAGCCTGAGGACCTGTTCTCAATCCGTGAGCCCTACCTGGTCAAAAGAGAAAACAGACTCCTGCAAGTTATCCACACATGCACTGAGGCATGAGGTGCACAAACATACTTGCAAAAATAAGTTAAAACATAATAAGAAATATTAGGGAGGGTGCTAGAGAGGTAGCTCGGCAATTAAGGCTGCTCTTCCAGAGGCCCCAAGTTCAGAGCCCATCAGTCACACTGGAGGCTCACAACTGTCCGTAGCTCTCCACAAGTCTAATGCCCTCCTCTAGCCTCCATGGGTGCTAAGCACACACATAGTACACAGACAACATGCAGCCAAAACACCCATACACATAAAAATTAGAGTTAGAAAAAGAAATATTGCTGGGTGGTCGTGCAAACTTTAATCCCAGTACTCAGAAGGCAGAGGCAGCTGGATCTCTGAGTCAGAGGCCAGCCTGATCTACAGAGCAAGTTCCAGGACAGCCACACAGAGAAACCCTGCATCAAAAAAAAAAAAAAAAAAAAAAAAAAAAAAAAAAAAAA